TGAGGTACTCTTCCTTTGGTGGCTCATGAGCTCAGGCGCACACTCAACAAGAGGAGGAAAACCCTGCACACAGATATTTGGCACACGCCCGTCATCGTTACAGGCTTAGGATAGGAAAGATGGCTATGAGGTCACGTTCCTTACACAAGCAGGTTGGAGTAAAACAGGTGGAAGGGGCTCATTTCCATCGCTGGTGGGGTGGGGGAGGAGCGTTCAGTCTACCGGAAGGCTTTCAGGGTGGGGAAATCAGGGAATGAGGAGCCCTCTGGTGCCCAAGTGAGTTAGAGTGCTCATCCTGAAGGCACCTTGTGCCTCCAGCTCAGTTCTGTGGGTGCTTTAGACCTTTGCGCCAAACGGACTGAATGGACAGACTAGAACCCTTTGTGAGGAAGCAGTGAGACTCTCCCGGGAGGTTAGCCTTTCACCTCTCAGGCCAGCCCAGTCAAGTGGGGTGGGGGTGGGACTTCTCAAGGGCCGAGCATCAAGGAAATGCGGATCAACATCAAAACGTGTGTTCCCTGATGTCCCAAGAGCAGAGGTCCGACAAAGGGTTCACACCATGACTCTATCAGAGGAAAGACCTCTACGTTTGGCATCAGAGGCTGCAAATGGACCTTTTCGTATCAATAGAGTTTGAACCCGCTTTCCGAACAGAGAAGATTCTCATGGATTCCAGCCCCTCCCCTGCAAATATGATTTATGAGCTCTTCTTCGGGATGAGGGGCCCGCTTTCCATGTGGTCATTTACTCCCAGGAGTTGATGGGAAGTGGGCTGTCTCAATCATGCCTTCTCGATTAGTTCCATGCTGTGGTGCATTTTCTTACAATTAAAAACAATCCATATGGAGTCGTGTATGTGTGTGCGCGCGCGGTTGCTCACGAGATGTGGTTTCTGAGGAGCGATCTCTGTGGTTGGTCCTCAAACTCATGCTACGGACCCGGCTTCTCGCCCGGACACCCAGACCTGTCTCCCTGTGTTTACTGATAGAAACCGATGGAGGGACCAGACTCTGGAGGGTTAGAGGAGTTTGGCACACATCTTTTGACAGTGAGACAACGCAGTGAATACGCTGCCTCTTCATGGGGTGGGAGGGAAAGTGAAGTTTGGAGAGTTCCAAATTGAGGGGCCCGTGAAAACAGCTCCTGGTCTACCCTCTTCGTGCCGGCCAAACTGGCCAGGAGTATGAATGGACGGCAGCAAAAAGCATCATTGGCCAGAGGAATTCCAGGCCCCTGGACTCGTGCTCTGACTAACACCTTTCCATCCAAACTTGCCTTTGCCAATGTCCGGTCCCTTGGGCACTGGGCCTGTGGACTTGCATCACTTTGCAAGGCTGTTCTGGGACGGTTGAGAAGGACCCAAGGATGGATAGTTTTGATCGAGCGGAGGAGGAGCGTCCTACACAGATGGGGAGGGACGTAACACTGCGTGGAGTGGGGCTGGCGCTTCAATCCAAAAGAACAACAGGGACCAACAGCTTGTTAGCTCAGCCGACTGCAGGGACAAGCACAACACACACTGGACTACAGCATTTGTTCACTGGGGCACAGACAGCGCTTTGCGGCCCGGCCGGTCTTCTTCCCAACCACCCTCGCCTTCTCCTGTCTGCGTCCCTGGCTACTGGATGAAGGGCATCCGCTCCTTGTTCTCGCTGTCACCTTCGTGGTCCTCCTCCTCCTCGCCCGCCTCGCTGGTCTCTGTGCTGTCGTTGGCCATCTGAAACCAACAGAGGACATTAGAGGGGTTGTGCCCCCTGCCTCCACCTTCTCCAGGCGGCTTCCCTCTCAGGGCTGCTCAGAGCACCAGGAGCCAAAGGACCCTGGCCTCCTCTGGGAGGCAGTACGTGTGGGATCCCAGGACTGCTCTTTCCATGTTTCCCTGGGTTCCCAGAATGCTCTTGAGGCACTCTCACCAAACCTTTTCCGTTGCTTCTTGGCACTCGTTTCAGTATATGATGAATGTGTGTGACCATGTGGTCAGGCCTCGTCCTCCCCCAAGAGCCCACAAAACCCAACCCAGTCAGTACTATCCAGTCTGTACCGACGTACAGAGCCCCTATAGGACAGGGTGGAACTGCCCTGGCTCACTGTGAGTTTCTGAGACTCACTCTTGATGGGAGTAGAAAGCCCCGTCTTCCTCCCGAGGAGCTGCTGGTGGTTTGGAACTGTGGACCTTGTGGTTAGCGGGTCAACACGTAGCACAGGCGGCCTGTATTTCCTTCTACCCCACCTATGCCTGCACCTGACAAGACCCAGGTGCACCCAACCCCACCCCCTAGGACCCTCTTGTGTCGCACTGCACTCACCAATGGAGTTGGGGTCTTCTCTACATCCAGAATTAACTTGCCGATGTTCCCGCGGTCGTGAATCCGCTGCATGGCCTCCTTCACCTGCAGGGTGAGGCCAGAAAAGTAAGCCGGGGTTAGGTGTGAAGGAAGCCACTGGGAAAGGCCAATCCACCAACGTTCCACCCGGGGACGCTGTGGCCCAAGGCTAGTGGGTACCCAGGCAAGGGTGCACAGCACTGGGGCGCCAATCACCCCAGTGGTGTGTGCGGAGGAGCCTTGTAGTGTGGGCTAGTAAATATGGACTGCTTCCTACAACGTTGCGGGTTCAAACCCACCAGCCGTTCTGCGGGAGAATGGTGAGGCAATGTGCTCCTTTCAAGATGTCCAGCTTAAAAAACCCTGGTCACTCTGAATCAGAATCGACTATAGAAAGGGCCCTGAGGAAATGTAAATCGCACACAGACAAAGCTGACACGGTGTCAGTGAGTCTGATCAGGTGTGTACACACATTTTGATCTTATGATCGTGACTTGAGTTCCTGACGCTAAACCATGAGGCTGCCTGCAGATCTGTGAAAGCTCAAACCAAACTCACTGCGATCGATGGATCCCAATGCAGTCAGCACACAAGGCAGAGAAAGATGGATCTCACGCGTGACAGTAGGAGAAAGGCTTGTCTTTCTTCCTCAGAGCGGCTGGGGCTTCTGATCCACTGACCTGGCTGTGAACAGCCTAATGCGTTAATGCACTGCGCCAACAGGGCTCCTCAGATTTGTGGAAAGCTCCTGAGACAAGGTCGATTACCCGCCGCGCCCCCTCATCAGTCCTTCAGACTTCCCAAGAGGTAGATGCTTCTGCGAGGCGCCCTGGTGGTGTAGTGAGTGTCGGGTGGGTTGCTAGCCACAACGAAGAGACTGCCTGCTCCTTTGAAGATTTAGTTTGGAAACTCACAGAGCAGTTCTACCCTGTCCTGTAGAGTTGAAAGCTACTGAATGCCAGTGTTTTTTGTCTTTTTAAAAAATATGCTTCAGTGTCAGGGCACACCAGCCAGTGTCAACTTTGACCAACAGTTAATGCCCAATTGCGTAAGATATTTAAATACTATACACTACTGATTCATGTTGTTGCTAGCTAGGGACCAATTAACCTGAGGATGAGTTCGATTTAAGGAACTTCTCGTGACGGCTGGGCTGCTAGGTGCAGTCTCTGCCTCCTATTAAGTGGGGTTTCTCCCAGAAGTAGTATTTCCCTGAGATGTTGAGACCTGACTCTCCGGGTTACTCAGCAAGGGATCCAGCCTCAAGTGACAACGGGTGGGGGCTGCAGGGGGTCTAGCCCAAACAGATTTCCTGAAGCCTTGGAATTGTTCACACAGTCAGCCCACAGACATTCACGTAGTGCCGTCTGTGTACAGGGCAGATGGCATGGGTTGGATAAAAAAAAAATTTTTTTGAAAAGAGCAAGACTGAGCACCTGCCGCTGAGAAGCTCAATCTGCAGCGATGAAACAGGGTTTGCTTATTTCAGAACCAAAGCCTCCGCATTTGGATACGACTTGACAGAGCCATTACAACCCTCCTCTTCTAACCGTTGCCATTTGAGGCTGTGCTTCAAACTAGGTGGGGTGGGGGCACACCTGCCAAACAAAAGGTCCTCTATCACAGCATTGCTTTTAATGATCAAAAAAAAAAAATTGAAACAACTCATGTCACAGCAAAGGAGAGCTCTTACAAATAACCATTTGATGGAAACGAACAGCATGAAAGGGTTTTAGACTTTTGCTAAGTGGGAAAATGAAGATAAACCTTTTTATTTACATCTCCACTTAAGAAAAAGAAATCTAACCGACACACATAAAACGTTGACAATTTAACAACATGAAGACAAATCACCACAATAAAGTGGGCAACCATTTTCAGCCATCCACTGCTATTAAGCCAGTTGAGACTCACAGCATCTTTAAAGGGCAGAGTAGAACTTCCCCGTTGGGTTCCCTTTACAGATCCAGACAGCAGCAGGCTTCTCCTGTGGAGCGGCCAGTGGGCTGGAACTGCTGATCCTGTGGTTAACAGTTCATTGTGTAACCCGATATGCCACCCAGGCTCTTGCTCAGCACGTGAAAAGATGTTCAGCCTCATCTAAATCACATCGAGATACATGCCACTGCCAGGAAAAATGAAGTCTTGTTCCATCTGATAGTAGGCATGGCTTAAAGATGTTATGCGGAGTGAACTAAACCAAACCAGAGAGGGACATGTATTGTATGACATCACTGGAGAAAGCAGCAAATGGGTGGAGAACAATGTTCATCCACGGTGACCAGGGGCGGGAAGGACTTGGGAAAGACCAGTTAAGAGTGATGGAAATATCTCATTGATAAAAAGGTAACGCCAAGCAACTTATTATTGTGATTGATATTAATACACTGTCTACATGGGAAGTGTTGAGATGGTGAAAGTTGTATGACAGGTGTATTTAGAACAGCAGCCACAACCAGAGTAGTTGCCGAGGCTGCTAAAGTTCAATCGAGCCTCCGGGGGATTTGGTTTCTTGGTTTGGAGGCTTAGGGCCATGGTTTCCTAGAGCAGCTCATTTAACAGGTTTTCTGACATGACTGGTGCTCCATCGAGTGGTGCCTGTGGTCCAAGAGCTTGCGAAAAGGCGATCCAAAACACAACCATTGGTCTCAATGCACCTGGAGCAAAGAGGAGGAAAGAGCCTGGGAAGAGAAGAGCCTGCAATGTGTGGCTACCTGCCTCCAGGAACAACCACCGCCTTTGCCGGAGACTAGAACTGGATGACACCCAGCTACCACGACACTGCACACTTTTACTAGGGATCCCGCCGGAGAATCCCATTCAAAAAGGAGGAAAAGGCAGAAAAGAATTTCAAATAGACACCAGACTTTCGGGAGTCAAGATGGGTGGATGAACCCCTGAAACGATTACTCTGAAACGATCCTTAAACCTTATTTTAAAAAACATGTGGCGTCATCGTACAATTGGGACAATAATTTAGCTTCACTAGTACAAATGATCTGCCTCGAGCAATATGCTCTGTTAAGAATGGTCCAGGCAGCGAGCACACGCACAGCAGCTTCTCCGAAGATGAGCTGGGCACCTGACGGGGCAGTGGTGCGATGCAAACTATGGAGCGGGAACAGCTCAGAAAAGGAAGGAGAAAATGGTTGCTGGAAAAATAGAATCAACGCCACTAAACGTTCGTGTAGAAACTGTCGAGGTGGTGTTATGTCTTATAACGTCTATCTCCAGGACAGCAGCACACATAACATCTAGAGAAAAAAATCCTGAAGTACTTCAAACGGGATATGGATAGGCAATAAGCAGGATCTAAGGGGGAAAGGCACTTTTAAACTTTCACCTTGCAAACACTGTTATTTGGTGACATGATTTCATCAGCATGTAATGTAAACTAAACACGTCTTTAAGAGCAGTCTTAAATAACCTGGCAGTGGTCGAAATCAGTGTCCTATGATGGTTACATTTCTCAACTCTAATACATAATAAGCCAGTGGCTTGTCTGTATTTGTGGTGAACGTGGCTTTTCAAAGTGCTTTCATGTTTATGGACACCCACAGCCATTACTGACTAAGCGTCTTCTGTTTTGTGGTAGCCCAATGAGCTCTGCCTTCCGGTATTCTTGCTCTTGTGCAATCCCTTCCCCTTAGTTAGGAGCCGGAGCTAGCGATTTCTTTTTTTAAATTTTTTGTATACTTTGTAAACTTTATTTCTGATTTTTGTAACCATTTTATTGGGGGCTCATACAACTCTTATCACAATCCATACATACATCAATTGTATAAAGCACAATTGTACATTCATTGCCCTCATCCTTCTCAAAACATTTGCTCTCCACTCAAGCCCCTGGCATCAGCTCATTCTCCCCCCTCCCTTTCCACTCCCCCCTCCCTCATGAACCCTTGATAATTTATAAATTATTATTTTGTCATATCTTACACTGTCCGACGTCTCCCTACTGGCGGCTTCTTCTAATGAGCAGAATAGGGCCAAAGTGGTGGACTATTACTTCTGAGGTTCGGTTACACAACGCTGTGAGTTCTATCCTAAAGCCTCTCTCTTGCTCTTTTTTTCACCTGGATAAGCCAGCTGCCATGCTATGAATCCCTGTGGAGAGGGGACTGTGGGCAGACTCTGCCCAATAAGGAGGACCTGAGAGGCTTAGTCCAAAAGCCGGTGAGAAGTGGACAACGGCCATTGAGAAAGGTCAGAAGCAGATCCATCGCCAGTTGTGCCTTCAAATGAGACCACAGCCTGGCTAATGCCTTGGTTGCACCCCAAAGGCCAAGCTGGATCCCTAACCCACAGAAACTATGTGACAATAAACATTACGGTTTTAAGTCACTAAATACAGGGGAGGAGCCCTGAGGGCACAGTGGTGACAGGTTGAGCTGCTAACTGCAAGGTCAGCAGTTTGAAACCACCAGCCGCTCTTGGGTGAAAGAGCTTTCTACTCCCGTCAAGAGTTACAGTTTTGGAAACTCACAGGGGCATTTCTATCTTGTCCTGTAGGTTGGACAACTCGGGTTGGTGGTGAGCACACACAGAGTAATTTTTTGCAGCTATAAGTCATGAAAAAAACACAAAAGAGCCCAAACCCACTGCTATCAAGTCCATTCTAGCTCCTAAGTGACCCTCTAGGGCAGTGGTTCTCAACCTTCCTCATGCCGTGACCCTTTCCTACAGTTCCTCATGTGGTGGTGACCCCTCAGCCATAAAATTACTTTCGTTGCTACTTCATCACTGTCATTTTGCTACTGTGATGAATCGGGCGACTCCTGTGAAAGGGTCGTTTGACCCCTCCAAAGGGGTCACGACCCACAGGTTGAGAACTGCTGCTCTAGAGTCCAGTGGGTTTCTGAGTATGTCCATCTTTACGGGGAGCACACAGCCTCATTTGTCTCCCTTGGAATGACTGGTGGGTTTAAACCACTGACCCTGTGGTTAGCAATCCAATGCTTAGCCAGCAGTGCTCTAAGTAACAACGCTCGAAGGAAATTCTCACGGATCCTCACAAGCTTGCAAGATACGTACTACACCCATTTCTCAGATCGGTAGCCTAAGGC